CTGGCCCCGGAGGCCACCTTATGACCATGCTCTTTTCACAGCTGAACTGTATCACCATTGATGTTTTATACCACAGGTGGCAAACACAAGGCCTGCGGGCTGAAGCCAGCCCTCCACCTTGTTTTATCTGGCCCAGCACCTTGCTTCTACCCAGCGGCAGCACCAAGCTCCTTGTCCTTAATTAAGGAGTAGTTACATCTATACAGTCCTAAAATTACATTTGACCCCTTGAAGGCAACCACAAGGCTGATGTGGTCCCCGGTGAAAATGAGTTTGACACCTCTATTTTACACTGAATAAAGTTTCCTTCTTCACTGCACACCAAATTGGGGATTCCTATTGGCAGTGAATTGGCAGCAACAACCATTAGTTGGTAGAACTCAAAGAAAAGTCCTTAGCCCTGCATCCAGAAAATTGCATATGTACAAGGCCTGTCCAGAAAGAGTCCAGCCATTGTTAATATAAGAACTGTTTGCATAACATCGATGTAACCTGGCAGCCAAGGAGAGTGGACCAGAATTCGTATGTGTGAACAATGACAACTTCACTGTATTAATTGCTGGGGGTGGTAGATGCCCATTAGTGAGCATATGTAACATGTGACCATCACATCCAAAATGACTGAGCGACTAGAGCAACAAATCTGCATCAAATTTTGCATGAAGCTTGAACATTCATCCAGAAACTATTTGAATGACTCAGAAGGCCACAGCTGTGGGCAACTGGTGATTGGTAGCTTCATCACAGCAATTTGCCCACTCATATAACACACGTCATCTAGTGCAGGGGTTTTGGTGATTAAGCCCCATTACAGCCCAGTGTAAGGCCCTGTGACTTCTGACTTTTTCCCAAACTAAAATCACCTTATAAAGGGAAGAGATTTCAGACCATTGATGAGATTCAGGAAAATATGATGGGGCAGCTGATGGCAATTGGGAGAAGTATGTGAGATCCCAAGGTACCTACTCTGAAGGGAACTGACTGAGCAATGTTTCATGTGTACAATGTTTCTTGTATCTTGTGTATTCTTCAATAAATGTCTCCATTTTTCATTTTACATGGCCAGATACCTTCTGAGCAGACCTTGTATGTTTATAAAATATTTGCTACAGATCACTTGTAAGGTACTCCTATTTATTTGACTTTTCCCATTACTGGGTCTCACTCACAGTGGCTAAAAGATACAGAAGACATTTCCAATTTAAACATGTCCTGAAGTACTTACTACAAAATACATAATACATACAACCTAATTAGGCTGTAATGCCCATGTTTTATATCATCAAAGCATTACCCAAGCTTTCTATAGTTAATTTGTAATAATGCCTACTCCCAACCTTCATTAGGTCAGTGGATTGACACTGATTGACAGAAACCACCTGAAAGCGGAGAGTGGAATGGCTTCCAACCCTTAACGTCAGCTCCATAAAGAGAGCCCATGTCCCACCCAGTTCACTTAGAATGAATGGTGTCTGGCACAGTATAGGTACATAGTAAATTCTGTGTATCCCCAAATAAAACACAAGGGATGTTTTTAAAAAAAATCACTCAGAAAAAGTTGGAGTTTTCTTATATTAGAATCCTCATTAGAATATATTAAGAAGTACCTATACTATTTGAATCACTGAATTTGGAACCACAAAACTCTTTTAGAAAAACATGTTACCCTGAAACATCTTGATCAATGCTCCTTAGAGGTATTAAATGGGTCACCTTGCAAAACTAAAAACAAAACAAAACAAAACAAAACCCAAATAGGCTGACAGACTTATCACACATTTTTAGCAATTGCAATGGTTAGACACTGCTGTTAAAACAGGAGTTTTTAAAGATCACTTTAAGAAGCAACACCTGACAACTATTTGCCAAACAGGCAAATGAAGATATCAACAGTCCTAACCTTAGGCAGTGGGTACTTGTAACTTGGTATAAAATTTCCAGGTGAAAGCGAGAGGCTCTGCTAACCAGGTCAGAGGATTCCACATGACTCTGTGATAACCAAAACCCTGATGAAAATTAGTGAAGAGTGTGGAAAAAAAACCGTTTCATGAACCAAACAGGAATTAATACATTTTATACCTGATTCATCCCCAATGTCTAACTGTAACTACATTAACAATCAATTAAGCAGATATTTATCTACATTCCCAAAAAGTTTACATATCCCAAATAGTCCAAAAGGTTTATTAAGGAGCTTCTCACTGGGAAAATAGGGGACTGTCTTATACAGTGATCCCTCACCTATCGTGGGGGTTACGTCCCAGAGACCCCTGTGATAGGTGAAAATCCGAGAAGTAGTGGCCTTTTATTTTATTATTTATATATATTTTAAAGCTTTATAAACCCTTCCCACACTCCTATAAACCTTTCCCACTCTCTCATTAACCTTTCCCACACTCTTATAAACACTTCATATGCTCTTAAACACTTTCTATGCTCTTAAATCTACATAATTTTAACAACATATAAAATTCTATATGGGTACTCACCAGTGAAGTGTACAGTCATCCCTCGCTATATCGTGGTTCACTTATCGCGATACAGTGAAGCCGCAATAAGTGAACTGCGATATAGTGAGGGATGACTATATTTACCGTTACCCACTACTAAAGTATACATGGTATTTGCCAAGTAATAACATGAGTGCCCATCTATTAAGCAACATGCAGCAATAACCAGCATTCAGCTTTGCTATCAGCAATCCAATGGACAGAATACCGAAAGCCTATTTGGAAGTATAATTTTCAGCTGAAGTCTGCCTGCCAAAATTATAGGCTTGCGTGATGTAAAACATTTCATGCAGGACTTCCAGTTGCCCAAGAAGATTCCCACTGACTGCTAAAAATTAGTGAATAGAAAGCTTTACTTTTTCCTCTTTGAAGGTAATCATATATAAGATTGATTTAATTCAGACTCTTCATAGAACCCAAACTTAGTCTTTACTGCTGTGGGCCTGCAAAGAAGAAAGGACTGGAGGTCACACTTCGTTAACACAACAAATAGAAAGAAAGAAAATGTGGACAAACTCTGTCCAGGTGGATAAGTTGGTTGGAACGTCATCCAGCACACCAATAGTTTGCAGGTTCAATTCCCAGTCAGGGGAGTACAGGAGGCCACTATCCCTCTCTCTCCACCACCCCCCCCTTCCTCCCTCTTTCCTCTCCTCTCACCCTTCCTCTCTCTCTCTAAAAGTAATAAACATATCCTCAGGTGAGGATTTTTTTTAATGTGGTCAAAAGTTCCCTAAATCTCAGAAAGCATCAACATAGTGAGAGCTACATGTGCCTATAGAGAAAGTCAATCATTTATCCCAAAATCCACTCAACAAAAAATTAATTTCCTGTTCCTAAGTGGCACTACTAAAAGTTATAAGTTCAACTGCTTTGACGTATATTTTTAATGCTCCAAATGCAACCACAGAGTTCCAAGACCTGAGGTTGCCTCCTTACCAATGCAATTCCCATAAGATGAACTGGGAGGGCATCTGTAAACACATGGTCATCAAAATGTTTTTCTAAAAGCATCATTCCAAAAATCATTTACTTCTCTGACCTTTAATTATAATACCTTAGATAAAAACAGCAAAGAAAAAAAGGAAAAGTTTGAAAATCTGTTAACACTTGTAACTGAATTTAATCACAAACAAGACCAAAGAAAACTTAATTCCCCTTCAGCAGTGATCCCAAGTACAAATATGCCTTATCTATTATTGACTACCCATTCTTCCTAATCCACAGAGAAAACCCAGTTTGGCAAAGTATGACATTTAACTTTAAAGCTCAACATCCAAGGGTTTAAGTTCCTAAGCACACAGATGCCACAGCACTGAGCAATTCAGGTGGCACAGTTTTCCCAGAATGTCAGCATTATACACATTGGAAGGATTATGTAAGTGGTTTAAGCACTGCCAGCTCTTTAAATGGTCAAAAATACAGAAATACAGTTGTGTTCTCTAAAATGAGTAACTGTAGTAGATCAGCAATGTATTTTTTACTTTAAGTAGGCTTTTCTACATTTAAAGAAAATATTAGATATGGGTACCTTGCTTGTCACACCAGCATCTCATGGGCTATCCCCACCCCATAACAGTTCCCAAGGTGACACAAGGTGTGAAATTACACATTGAAGTAGGCTTTGAGACCAAATCACTACCAAATCAAAACCCTCAAAATAAGATCTTTAACTGAAATAGAAGCAATGGATGCTATGAAATGTAATTGTGCACACACACACACACACACACACACACACAAAACCCCAAACCCCACATGGGACTGCAATACTGCCTAAGGACCCAAGAGAGGACTAGGGCTTCCAACAGAAGGAGTCCAAGAAGGGATGGGTCAAACATTTCTCCTGAAAAATTAACTTCTTCTCGCCTGTTAAACAGAGTTCATAACTTGGATTCTTCCAACCCTGGTCACACCTCTGTTCATTCCTCCCTTGCTAGACCTGCAGGCAGGAGGCCCAGTCTTCCCTGTGACCAGAACCCAGGGAACATTAAGCACTAACTTTACCCATGCAGGGGGAGGTGTGCAGAAGGTTGGTCTGAAGGTCCACAGGAAGAAGGCTGTTTCTGGAAAAATAGGAGGGCACAGCCCCAGCCAGCAGAGGGACTAGAGGTGAGCCAGGGACAAGACGTGCTCACTCCTTGGGAGGATGGGGTGTTGGCATTCATATAAACAGATAATAAGTTTCCCTGGGATCACATGCCTCCACAGTGCAAGTGCAGGTGGTGGGAAAAGAGATTCCAAGGGAGAGGATGGATGGAAGGCAGGCGCAGACAAAAAGTTCAAAGGAAAGGGAGCAGATGGGGGTAGACGCAGTGTCTAAAAGTTGGCAAGTAGAACTTGAAGAGCTACACTCACGGAGGTAAGTCTCTGAAGGAAAGAAGAAAGAAGAGCATGAAGAAGGTCGTTATGGAGACACCTCTGCTCTCCACACTCCCGCGTGCGCACACACACACGCACACACCCCTCGGCGCCCAAAAGGCTACCCACCTTTGCCAGAGGAACGCTCCTGCTAGTCGCCAGCTCGCACAGATTGCCCGCCTCCATAGAGAGATCTGGTAAGCCCGGGGCGCTCCCGGCTGTGCTGCTCCCGACCCCCTCGAGCTTGGAGGCCACCCTCGAGTCCGGGACAGCACGAGGCCTCTGGCGGATGCCATCCAGCAAGCGCACCAGCAGGATGTTGGCGGGCAGCTCCTCCACACCGCAGCCCACCAGGACGCGGCACTCCGGGCAGCGCAGCTCCTGACGGGAGCGCACGATGCTCTCCAGACAGTGGCGACAGAAGGTGTGCTGACACGGCAGCACCTTGGCCGTGGTATCCAAGCGCTCCAGGCACACGGAACACTCCAGAAGATCCAGCAGGGACGACTCTTCCATGTCCTCGCCCGCAGCCGAGGCCGTAAGGGTCCGCAGTCCGCCAGGCCTGTCGTTGTCGCCCTCGGTCTGTGCAGCAACGGCAGCGGCCTAGGATACGCATAGCAAGGACGCTCCGAGCAGCATAGGGGAGGCGGAAGCCACGCGCAACTGTCTAGGTCCCGGGGCCGGAGCTGGACCCACCTCAGGCAGCCATCAGGATGGCACCCGGGCGACAGTCTGGAAGCCAGGCTCCGCCGGGACTTCCTTCACCCTGGCTGGTGGCCTGGGGCTCCGGCCGCCGAGGTGCAGAGTAGCACATCTACAGGTCTGCCTGGCGGGTACTTGGAGTTCTACGCCCCGTAAGCTAGCTCCGGGCCAAAGGGATCATACAGTGCTCCGAATAGCGCGCCCGCGGCTAACGACTACACCTGTACCACGGCGTGTCAGCCCCACGCAAGGCTCTAAGGGAGTTGCCCACCAAAACACTCAGGGAGCTCTGCACTCCAAGTGGCCTCCCAAGGCCGGAAGCCCCACCAAAAGAAGTGCGGGTAGTAGCCAGTTGAGTCCCCGGGGAGCAGCGTGAGCGCTTTCTTGCGCCGCTGCTCAGCCACACCACCGCCCCCGCGACATCTCCATGCACCCAGGGCCCGCCTACGATTCGCTGCCCGAAGCAGGTTCAGCCGGATCCTTCCTCTTCCCTCCACCGCAAAGAAGTGCTCCGCGAGCCTGCGGAGGTCACGATCGCTGAAGCTGACGAGCAAGCAGGGCGCATGGCGGCGCCCCTTAGGGCACCTCCAGGGTTCCCTGGAACTCTGTGCTTGCCTTTCTGCGCAGACTGGGCCCTGTCTCCTCCTGAAGATCCCAGTCTTCCCTTCGGCGTTCCTTGAGCCTCAAGCAGGGATATTTTCTCTCGACACTGCCACAAAGGAAAGTTTCGTAGGTGTTATCCTGACTGTCTTCTTGGCCAATGCTGGCGAGCATCTTAGGGACATAGCCAACACCTGAGCATCCTTCCCGATAACTCTCTGGAGAGCTCGCGATCCAGTAGCCTTTCCAGGCAGAGCGCACAGGTGACAATCCCGCAGCTGAGGGTGTGGGTGCGGAGACACCGCGCAAAGCCCAAGGGGAAGGCGCTGGAGTTGGCAAGGGTTCCCAGGGTCAGCTCCGGTTCCTCCCAGCGGTCCCTGTCTGGAGTCGCGGATTCCGGAGGCTAGCGCTGCTGCCCGCCAGACGGACACCTTTCCACAGGGCACTCGGTTCAGCGTCCTACTCCCACCCCTGACGGCCAGCGCAGTGCGGCCACCCGCCCCCTTCCCCCGCGAGGTCTCGTGAACCCCGCGGCAATTTCTCCTCGGGAGGCCCAAAAGAGGGAAAATTCTTCCCGACGCCCGGCTTCAGCGAGCATCAGAGAAACGGAAGTACTTACGGAGGACCCGGAGCAGCCGGGAAGTTCGTCCGGGGGGGTGGTCTACTGCATGATTTCCTGTAGTGCGCTGCCCCCTCGTGGCCACTTTGTGTTAGCAGGCCGAATTCCCTCCCAGGAAGGGAATTCCCTTGTGAGGAAGGAATGGCTTATAGTTATGAAATCACTGAGGCTGAATTCTGTTTGTTGTATCTCCAGCATAAACCGCAGTCCTTGGGAAGCACACCAGGAAGCCAGGTTGTTGCCAGGGCCAACGTCAGAAGAGGTGTTCAGGCCCGCCTAGGAGTCAGGCTAAACTGTGGTTTGTCAATTTAAGTATAACTTTTATTTTCAACTTTTCAAAGAGAAAGTAATATCTGAGGTTTAAATAACGAGAACATGCCTAAGCATTATTTTATATAATCCTCCAAATGGCAGTGAGATCATTATTTTTAATCTCATTGTACTTGTGAGGAAGGAATGGCTTATAGTTATGAAATCACTGAGGCTGAATTCTGTTTGTTGTATCTCCAGAACCTAACGCATGGAAAAAATTACATTCATTAGAATATAAGCTCCCTATAAGCTACATAGTTTTACCCTGTAATATCCTATGCCTAGGACAGTGCCTGGGTACATAGTAGGCTCTCAATAAATATTTGATTAATTAATGAAAAACGTTTTCGGAATCATTTATCACCTAGTGGTAATTTGAACATTAAGATCTTAGAGTCTCAATTCCAGGTCTCCTAAGCTCATATCAGGCTACCATTCTTGGAAACTTTGCTACTAATAACAGCAGGAGAACTTCCAGCCTGCCTGGTGGACATCTGTTAGTAATGTGGATTTCTGTATTGGTTGTTCACATTATCACTGGCAACTGTGTGAGATGGAAGGTGTCCTGGAGCTGCCTGGCTAACCAAACCTGGGAGCAGACTTTCCAGGAGGACCAGGAAGGAAATGCACATCCCAGTACAAGGAAGTGCCTCTACATTAGCCTCCATTTACTCTTTGACCCTGGCTCAGGAACAAGAAAGGGAAAATTTCCAAATGACCTGTTAGCAGGTGCACAAAAACAGGGACCAGGTGTTAACCTAGGTTCAGCAACCTCAATTCTTGAGTTCTGGCTAAGAATTCAGAGCCAAGATTCAAATTGAAAGAGAAAGTTTATTTAGAAAGTCACAGAAGTAGAAGTGAGCCATAGAAGAAATGGGCTCAGGAAACAAATTATAGCAAAAGAAGGACCCCTGGAGTGGTGGGGTGAGCAGGGGGAGAGATACAGGCCTTGAGAGACCAAAGAGGGAGAAGAGGTTCCAAGCATTCTGGGGCAGGGAGGTGGAGAGAGGGAACTACAGAGAGATAAGCACCTTGAGAGACAAAAGGAGGTTAGGCCTGAGAAAGAAGAAAGGGAGGAGAGGGGAGGAAAGAGCAGGGAGAGGAGAGAGGGAGAATGAGCCCTAGAGAAAGGAGATGGTACAGGTGTATTCTATAGAGTGCTCCAGAGAGAGTAGCATTGGGTCCTCCGTCTTGAGGGTGTTTATCTGGAGATCTCAGGAGTATCCCAATAGAATATTCAACAGTTTTCCAGGTGTGTCTCTTCAGGGCTGTGGTCTCCATTGATGGGTTGGTGCCAAGGGAGGGGTTCATTAGTCATTGCAGCTGGTCCTCATATCAACCATAGTGTGGCAGCTGGTCCTCATATCAACCATAGTGTGGCTTTGCCTGGTTTTGTTGCTCTTCTGAGCCTGGAGCCAAAACACAGCTGAGGCCTGCATGTCATCTCCAGACATCAATGCTTAAGGTAGTGGCTGTGCAAGGGTTTATAGTTTTGCCTGTTGTTAAGCACCAGGGCTCTCCAACCTGGTAACCCTCTGCACCTGGCCCATAGGTTCCTGTTCTGCTCATGCCTATCTAAATGCCTACTACAGACCCAAAATGCTTAATCTGAAAGCAGGTGGCAGAGAGACGGAACAGGAACAGGGAACCCTCAGACACTGGGAAGGCTGGCAGACAATAGGGCTACCTGTAATAAAACATCCTGGGTGCTTTTGGTTGCCGGCAACAGAAACCAGCTTAAGTTAGGTTTTTCAAAGGAGCAGAATAGATTATGAGCATCAGCACTCCAGGCAGAGGGCCAGGTTACTACAGACAATCCCCTGTGTGTCTTGCTCTGCACACTTCTCTATGTAATGATGGGCTCTTTCCTTCTCTTGCACCAGCAGCTTTACTTCCCAGCCTGCATGATAGAAAACATGGTCAGAACCTCTCTTTCCCAGCCTGCATGATAGGAAACATAGTCAGAGCTCCAGAAGCACTGCATCCATAGCTTCAGCCACTGACAAAATGCATTCCTCCGACTGTCACATGCTGCAGGTTTTAAAACCCTAGCAACCAAACTGGGCCCAGATCACTCTCTGAACCAATGAGTGCTGGCTATAGGAGCAGGATCATCTGAAACCTGGCAGCACCCTCAGCAGTCACACAGAAGAACTGAGTTTCCAGAATAAATGGTATGTGGGGGACCCAGATCCCTCTGTCCTCAACTTCCCTCTGTACTATATGCATCTGGGGCCACACAAGAGCAAACGCAGTGTGACTAAACCTCACCTTTCTCAAACCTCCCCTGCTTCTACTGTCCCTGTTAGCCCCTGCCTTAACCTGCTCACACAGCACAGACAGGCTGGGCAGGGCGAGACTAGGCCATGGTGCACGGCGGGATTGCAGTGAGCCATGCCTGCATCTTGCAGAGTGGGTAAATGCTGCCCAGCCCCAGTGTATCACACACTCTTTTGAGAAAATGAGGGCCAAGCATTGCCAGATCTTTCTACTTTTGAAGAGAAGATGGAAGGCCACTTTGTTATGTGAGATATCCTGATGTCCAACAATTGGCAAGCAATTCAGCTCTCAAAAAAAAAAACATATTGGCCAAATAAAATGAATATGTGGCCAAATTGGCCCACAGGCAACTAGTTTGCAATTTATGGTTGAAGTAGCCAAGTAAAATGTACTACAGCATAAAGGAAGTTAAGGGCATGAACTAAATAGTTGAAATATTACAAATACAGTTTTATATTACTCAGTTAAATTTTCACATGTTCAATAAGTCAATCATGTAAGTAAATGATTGAGGACCTAGCTTAACAGTCATCCACATGAAAAGATCTTGGGAATCTAGTGACCACAAGCATAATGTGAGCCAACATGAGTTATTAGTGTAGTATGGCTGACTATAAAAGTAATGAAATCACAGGATGTGGAAATAGGGAAAGAAATAATCTCATTGAATCTCAGGCTTGTTAGATCTCATTTGTGGGATTACTTTCAATTGTGGGGGCAAATATTAATGAACGGGTGGTAAGGGATCTAGAGACCTCGTCTATGAATTTAGGATGAAGAGAGTGTTTCTTTCCAAAGAAGGAGTTCAGAGACAGGATGGGTGGCTATATGTCAAGGTTTTGGCTGCCCAATGTCTGAATTGCTTTTTAAATGTGGGTGATTCTCTACTTAGTGAAAGTCAGATTTTTTTCCAGCTAGGGTATCAGGATATGACAGGTTCATCCAATTGACAGCTTCCCACAGCCCCCATGCCTGGAGAGGGGGAATGAAGGTGGCAATGGAGCATCATGGAGTTCCAGATGCAGGGGCTGACAGGGAAATAGGGCAGGGCCTGAAGCAACAGTGCCCTGAATCTTGTGCCCAAGTGATATCTCAGGGGAAGGGTCTGACTGTTGATACCAGACATGATTGGGGTGGTAAGCCTGGGCTGTGGGCCCTGCTGGCTTGTCTGTTTTTCTGGTGACCCTATGGGTTTTCCAGTTTTATTTAATTAGTTTCCTTTTATTGTTGTTGTTGTTGTTTTTAAATTAACCAGAGTCAGTTTCTGTTGTTTACAATAGGGAACTCTAATTAATAAATTATTTATTACCAGAGACCAATGAAGGCTCTCAACATGAGACCATTTTCACCATGCTGAACTTCTCCTCTTGGCCTTCATGTTGGGAGGATATCAAAGTGAGCCACTTGGGGCACCATTTGTTCATTCAACAAACAGTGCCTGAGTGCATTCTCTATGTCCGGTGCTGGGTGGACCAAAGCCAGCAGTGTGGTGCTACGAGTAGAGCCTATGTCTGGGGATGAAGGAACCGCTGGCTGGTCTAACTCAGGTAAGTGACATCACCTCTGTCAACCTCAATTACATCTTCTATAAACTGGGAGATGAAAATATTTCACCTACTTATGGGCATAAGATCATTGTAACCTCTGAGACTGAATAACACATTGAAAAAGTGTATTTGTTTACCCTTGTTATAAGCAGGAGAACTAAAATGAATTAAAGTTACAGGAGGCAGGTTTCAGTTAAATGTTGAGAAGGGCTTTTTATTAGGCTGAGTTGTCCAACAAAGCACTGGCTGTCCCATTAATTAGGAGCTCCCATCACCAAAGAATTAACGCACAATTATGTCTGTAAGGAATATTGTAAAAGAGATCAATTTTCATCTCTTCTGTTCTCTCACAAAGCACCTCTGTATTGGACAGATGGTACTGGTCAGTCCAGCAAACCCTCTCTTGAAGTACCTCTTCATCCCAAGTCCATGTGACCCTCAAAGAAGGCCAGTCACACCCCTACACCTGTGTCCCCAACAAGCCGTGTGGCCTCGGCTGGACAATCAGAATCATTCTTGCCCTGAGATGAGTAGATAATGGCAGGCACATAACTAAGCAGCATTAATGAGCTTCTAAAGTGAGATTTGACATATAGGCATAGATATTGAAGGAGGAGGGAAGTTCTCTTTCCCTATTAATTCTGAGCCCTGAAGACTCAGCCTTGGACTCTAGTGGCCGCCTGTCCTGCCACAGGAAGAAACTGAAGCATAGGTGGGAGTGAGGGAGAGGAGAGGAGGGTCAGGAAAATGGGAGGGAAAGGGAGGAGGAGGAAGAGGAGGAAGAGGAGGAAGAAGGTGAGGAGGAGAACAAGCAGGAGGAGGCAAGAGAGAGTCCTAATGATTAATTTGACCAT